ATGGGTCCTGTGACGAAACCGGGGATATATCCCCAAGGTTGGGGATATATCCCCGAGGTTGGGGATATGACCCCAACCTTGGGGTAAGATGATTCATCCCCTCGGAGTTGCTCCCCTCGTTGGGGCCTTGCTGCACCCGGCCCCGGATCTGGACTGCATGTGGGTACCACCACAACGTGGCAAATGTGACAAGTTTTTTCGAACTCGAAGATTGTTTGATGGACGGGAAAAAACTCCACAACCTCTGCTCTAACAATAATATCAGGTTGTAAAGAAGGTTCTTGCCGTCTTCAAAAGTTGTTTTTCAATGCATTACTTCAGTTTTAATTTTTCTCTTTTTTTCTTAGTGATTTTGAACACCAGGTGCGTAAAATGAGGTGGTTGTTATCGAAGCATTTGTCTTGAGATGTAAAAGAAGATTGTACCAGTTTTTTCGTGTAGAACATGTTGAGACTGCTTGGGAAAACTAATCGACTTCTGTCTTTCTTACCTTAATGTATCATCTAAAGGATCCTTTGGAGGTGGAGCAATTGGCATGTTGGGAGGCGGCCTGGAACATCAGTCATTAATTTGTATTCATTTAATACTCTTCCGTTCAACGAGTCAGCCATTCGTTTAAAGAAACAGACGTCCACGATCACTCGCAGTCATCCTGCAGCCAGGATAGACTTATCCAGCAAAAGAGAAAATACCTTCCCGGAAAATCCCTCTATTTGCAATTGGTCATAGTCCTTATATGCTGACTTACATGCATATTGAAAACAGCCGCATTCATTTGATATGCCTCTTTTTCACCTTACTCCCCGCTTTTAGACGGTTCTGATGTGTTGCGGCCCGCATATGATGTGCCACTGAGGTCTCCATTTTCAATGAACCTTGCAATAAGAAGTAATGGGCGCAGTGTTCAGTACAGGTTCTCTCCAATGTACTAGCCCGAATGAGATTCACGGCGCGTTGAAACCAACCTGCCGTACCAAGGTATGAAAATGAAAAGTGGCGCGACACCATTTTTCGTCCAGAAACGTTGCAGAAAAAGTTGCAATATTGAGAAGCCCCTCTAGCTCCATGAAGTGGCTCGTAACCTCAGTAATGAATGCTGCTTTTAACATTTCCCACCTAGACGTCGTCATCGAGCTTTGCTGCTTTATCAATAAACCAGAATACCGTTCACATTTTGTTGATAGTACCAGATTGGTTCCCCGTCAACCGCCGAGACGTTTCTTCCCTGCCTAAGCTTCACGTCTTCCGCTGTGGTCCTTCCACGTGTGTATAGTAGACAATAGAAAGAGAATAATAGAAGCTGGCTGCTGCTACAGAAAACTCCTTCATGTTTCGACTTCCTCCGTAATTCGGGCGCTATCGTTTGACGGGTATAGCTTTCTCCCACGATGAAACCCTCTCGTCTTGGAACACAGTCATGAGGTGGTGGCCTTCCACAGTCTTATTCAATATTTTCATTCATTTAACTTTCTCCTTCTGCACGCCTCCTGTGCTTCAGTCCAGCCATGTTTCCTCAAAATCTTATAGAGGTACATATATAGTTCTGGTTGGACAGTTCTCCAGACCCGAACTCTCTCACTATTTTTATCATGCTTCCACGGAATTGTGGTACTCGTTTCTTCACAATCTCCCTGAAGTGCGGGAGGCCAAAATCAGTGACGGTGCGTGTGTGTGACAAATCACTGCTCCTTTCTTTTATGAGCTGCACAGACTGTAGACTGGTAGCCAGCCGAGACAGGGATAGCCGAGTGGTTAAGAGGTTAGACTCATGTCTGCACCTCTGAAAACCGCGAGTTCGATCCCTGCCGAATTAACCATGCCTTGCAAAAAATTGCAAAAGTGGTTCTAGTACCGGCTGATGAAGACCCCAGTCACACCAACCATGTCAAAAGTCGCAAAAGAATCAGTGTTAAAGCTAGGACGTCACCCGGAAGTGGCGCGCAGAACCCCCGCCCGAGTTCTGTGGTCAGTATGCGAGGGCTACCGAGGAGTGAACGGCCTCGGCCAAAGAAGCTAGTTCGAATAGGGAACGTAGGATCGCTAACTGGGAAGTCCCGAGAGGTTGCTGATCTGATGACGCGCAGGAATATATCCAAGTCCTATGCCTTCAGGAGACGCGATGGAAAGGTGCTAAGGCCAGGGAAATCGGGGAAGGTGTCAAACTCTACTACAATGGAGAAGACACCAAGCGGAACGGTGTGGCCATAGCGGTAGCGGAGTCGCTCAAGGACTATGTCTCCGCTGTGAACAGGATCAGCGATCGGATCATGGCTGTGAGGATAGACACGAAGGAGGGGTACTGGACCATACTCTCCGTGTACGCACCGCAAGCCGGATGCCCCGAAAGTGATAAGGACGAGTTCTATCTGAGCCTTGACGATGCCATCAGATCGATTCCGGAAGGTGACTTACCTCACCATAGCAGGTGATCTGAATGGTCACGTCGGCAGTGACAGAAGAGGCCTGGAAAGGGTGCACGGAGGTAGAGGAATAGGAGTGAGGAACGCCGAGGGAGAGAGGGTCCTGGACCTGGCTACGCCCACGATCTGGCAATCTGCAGCACGTTCTTCGCGAAAAGGGAGACTCAGAAGGTCACCTACAGCAGTGGAGGGAGACAAACGGAAATCGACCATGTGCTGGTAAAAGATCATCCCTCAGAACTGTGAAGGACGTCAAGGTACTCCCTGGCGAAGAACTGGCTTCCCAGCACAAGCCATGGAAGTTGGTCTCCCAGATCCTAAGGGACCAGTGCAGCGGACTTGGGGCACTGCAGCTGAGATCATCCTACGATGCGCCAAGGAGGTACTGGGCGAGACGCGAGGTGGATTCAGAGGAGACAAGGCAGCGTGGTTCTGGAACGAGGAGGTCCAGCGAGTCGTGAAGCAGAAGAAGGAAGCATACAAGCGCTGGCAGAAGACCCGGAGCCCCGAGGACCTCGCTACCTACAAGAGTTGCAAGAGGCTCGCTAAGGCTGCCGTCGCCAAGGCGAAGAACACGGAGATGGACGCCTTGTACGAGAAGTTGGAAAGCAGAAACGCAGAGAAGTTCGTCTTCAGACTGGCCAAAGCCCGGCATCGGGCTACTCAAGATATCAGGGTGGTGAAGAGCGTGAAGAGCAGCAACGGCGCCATCCTGAGGAAGCCAGCCGAAGTCCGGAGGAGGGAAGAGTACTTCAGAGGTCTTCTGAACGAGGAGTTCTCCCACAAGAACAACTCACGGGCAGAGGCCACAGCTGGTCCCATCGCACTCTGGACAGGATGAGGTTCGGTGTGCACTTGGGAAGATGAAGGTTGGAAAGGCAGGTTGGTCCGGATGGAGTACCCATAGAGGCTTGGAAGGCGCTTGGAGAGCACGGGTAAGGTGGCTCACCCGCTTCCTGAACACGGTAACTGCCGAAGGAAGGATGCCGGATGCCTGGAGAACAAGTACTATCGTCCCCATCTTCAAGCAGAAGGGTGACGCGATGGACTGCTCCAACTACCGCGGGATCAAGTTGACTGCGCATGAAGTTGTACGAGCGCCTGGTCGACTCGAAACTGCGGGAGCTGGTCCCGATCTCCCAGGAACAGTTCGGGTTCATGCCCGAAAGGTCTACAACGGATGCCATCTTCATCGCAGGCAAGTGATGGAGAAGTATCGAGAAAAGCGCCGACCCTGCTACCTAGCCTTCCTCGACCTGGAGAAGGCGTTCGACCGGCTACCGCGAGCAGTACTATGGAGATCGCTCAGGGAACGGAACGTGCCAGAACACCTGATCTCTCTGGTGAAGGACATGTACGATGGGGCTAAGGCAGCTATACGCACCCCACACGGCCTAACGAAGGAGGTGGACATCACGGTTGGGGTGCACCAAGGGTCAGCTCTGAGCCCGTTCCTCTTCCTCCTAACACTAGATGTCCTGGTGAAGGGGCTCATGGAGGGACCACTAAAGACTTCAAGCCAAGGTGCAGAAATGGCAGAAAGTCCTGGCAGAAGGTGGGCTACGGCTGAATGTCAAGAAGACCAAGTTCCTGAGCTCCGAAGAGGGTGCAGAGCCGATCGTGGACGGCCATGGTGAGACCATCGAAAGAGTGGAGGACTTCCGATACCTTGGGAGCGATCTGGCAGCCGACGGTAGTGTGGATCAGGCAGTGAAGGCTCGGGTCAACGCTGCATGGATGAAATGGAGGGAGTCCACTGGAATCCTCTGCGATCGAAGGTGCTCCAGAACGCTCAAAGGGAAGGTGTACCGGACAGTGGTAAGGCCTGCGATGCTATACGGCAGCGAGTGCTGGCCCCTGAACAAGAATCACGAAAGGCAGCTTCACTCTGCCGAAATGAGGATGCTGAGATGGGCCTGCGGCTGGACGCGGCTGGACAGGGTCAGAAACGAGGATGTCAGAGCGGTCATGCAGACTGCCCCTGTCCAGCTGAAGGTACGGGAACAGCGTCTGCGATGGTATGGGCATGTGCTAAGGAGGCCACAGGACCACCCGATAAGGAACAGCGATGGACTTCGAAGTGCAAGGCAAGCGACCGCGAGGAGCCCCAAAGAAGAGGTGGAAAGACGTAATCAAGAAGGACCTAGGTGAGGTCACGGCCACGATGGAAGATGCCCTGGACAGAGCAAAGTGGCGACGACTGACAAAAACAGCGGACCCTGCGACTGCGCGGGACTAACGCTAGGGAGAAGAAGAAGAAGAAGGCTGTAAACTAGTGCAACTTCAGAAACAAGCTAAGTTTGTTTGAGAATTTTCTGCCTCGCTCAAGTAGTAAGCAGCACTTTAACTTCATTTCGAATGCACCCTGAGTTGGAAAGCTAACCAGGAGCCACGAAATTTTGCAAGTCTATCAAAGGAATTTGCGAAAAGTATTGACATACTAGTCGTTAGAAAAATCAGTAAGCGCCTATAAAAAGGAGGGCAAAATGTGTTGCAATAAATATAAAATACCCTGTACAAAAGATGAAGAGTTCATGCTAGGCGTCATCGGTGCTTTCTTTTGGTTTTTTTTATTTTCAGTCAAATCCGCAACCCCACCTCCACTGTCGAGCGCTGTTAACCCACCAACTTGGTCCTGGACTGTTGTTTCGAAGGAGTATTCCACAGCAAGATCGAAGGTCGAAGAGGGGTAAGTGGGAAGAGAGGCGGACTTGCAAGGATGCGAATCTCTCTCTTGGCCGCTCCCGCGCTGCTACCGCCGCAGCACACCCAACCACTCCCCGTTTGAGCCGCTAGCCGTTTAGCAAAGAGAGTCTAATCAACGTGGAAATAAACGGGCAAACAAGGGGTCACACTTTCTCGATTCTCGATCGTATTCTAGGGTTTTTTCCCTGTACCAAAAACCACCTCTTCCTTGATTTCTAATAGGTCTCGTTTCATAGCAAGTCCGCCTTTATGCCACTATTTACAGTACTCGCCGTTTGAAATCGAAAATTCACGCGAATAACGCGAATCCTCGTTAATTTCGTGAATTCGTTATAACTCGGTTCAAAATTGAGCTTTCGAGAATCCGAAGATATCTTTGAATTCAGCTCGTCGGACACTATAAGAATGTGCTTTGATACTTTGGAAAAGCTCCATATAGGATTGCGCCATGCACTCGATTTTCATCTCAAAAAGTAGTTGCTCGCATGTGATGTGTATATAATCCCGCTTACCTCCACGCCAGCGCTGACCGCTACACACAGAAGAAGGGCCTCAAAACTTACCCCAGAATGCGCCACGTACTCAATCTCATCCACTACATTGTGAGATTAGATGAATGTTATTTTCCGAATTCTTAGATCTTCATTTCGTTTTTAAGCGCTTACTGGCTTTACGTGTTCCCTCTGCTCTCAATATCCCATCCTCTGTATATCAAGTGGAATCTTTGAACAGTTCTCAGCAGGCATAGTGGGCCTATTATGTGACATTTTCCATTTTCAGAGGAGATGTTTTGCAGAAAGCTGTGAAGATAGCGAACAATTTCCTTCACTGTCGTAGACTAAGCCCCGTACCTGCCCAGAGCGGTACACTCTGATTCTAAGGATAATCACATGAGAAGCCATCTGCGCAACAACAGATCACCGCCTCTATCAAGATGTTTGACCAAACATAACATCCCTTTCATGCCTCTTGCCACCTACGACGTGAGCAAGCCCGCCCGCCCCCATCTTTTTAACGAAGATGTTTGTCACAACTGTAGGAGGAAGCGAGCATCTCCTGTCACGCTCGCTAACCATTATCCGGCACTTTGTCCGTAGAATATAGTGGAAAACTCCCAGTCTCGCAAACCTAAAGCAGGTTATCGCTCCTTCGTGGCTGTGACCCCAAACATCACCCCTTGTCATGCCTTTGCCCCCTATTACGTGACAAGTCCCATTTTTAGAGGAATGTTTTGTAGAAAGCTGTAAAGGAAGCGAAGAATTTCCTTCACTGTCGTAGACTATGGTCACTTGTCTGTAGGAATTATGTGGAAAACTCGGTCGCAAGTGAGCGTTCCTTCCGTGGTGTGGCCCCCCCCAACGATGCCTCCTACGTATGCCCTTAAAGGGAAAGATTCACGAATATTTTTTTTTGCATTCCCATCTGAATATCGCAGCCTGCCAATGTGCGCCCTGGGGGGGTGTGCCCCGTCGTTAGCTTCCCCGTGAAAAATGCTATCGAATGATATGCATTACTTCCCCAGTTGAAACTTTGGTTTTTCACCGTTTTCAGCCTTCCCCTATTGCCGGATTGGGCACTATCCCACGATTACTGCCCCAAAATCTCAAAGTTTCATTTTTCGTCGAAACTTTGCCTATTGGGGTAATTCGATGCCCTGATTACGAATATGACATTCATTTTTGATGCTGGTGTCATTTGGCGCCACATTTGGCGCCACGGTTGTTTCCACCAAATCCGCTGAAAACGTGTGTATACGGGGTTATTTGGGGTCCTGATCACGAATATAACATCCAGTCTTGACGCCGGCGCCATGTGGTGTCACAAACAACACTTCACAGTCAGAGCGTACTCTTAGGCACCTTTCTCAGAGCGCCGACTGTCAGACCGTGGAAAAGGTACATCGAACTCGAAGACTTTCCCACGACAGGGAAGCCAGAAGCATGTTTCACGTTTTCGACAACGAAAAACGATGGCTCTTGCTACTCTTTAGCGACACAATCGTCAATGAGAGCTACTGGGCTCCTTAGCCTTGAAGGACGTGTACGAGACGCTCAAGTTGAATAATCTGCACTTGACTGGTTGCGATCCATGGGGTTGATGTCTGTGCCACTATGCCCTTCATGTCAACGATCTATGAGCCTGATCAACGACGAACGGCACAACGGCTGGATTTTGGTCTAGATCTGTTGCGATACGTGCCGCACATGGATTCTCGTCGCGTGACTGCCCCCCGGGTCGCTATGGTGTGTCGCGACTGTGCGCTTATTTCGTGGCTCGCGGGCTGTCGCGACTATGGCACGTAGTGGTGAAGTTGACGAGAGGACAAAAACAGGCCCAACCTCCCCCCACCCCTTTTCAATTCAGTGGGTGCGGTTCTTCCGCGACGTATGGTGGGCACCTTCAGGAGAACCCCGCCGATCATCGGAAGGTTCGGGTGCGAGATGGAAATTGACGAAACACTGGTTATCAAACGCAAACACAACCGCCGACGTTGGGTACGCAGGCACAAGTGGCTGTTTGGAGGCATTGAAAGAGGAAGTGGACTCCTTCGGATGGTCCGAAGGAAAGACGTTTCAACTCTACTGCGGCTCATCATGAAGTAGTACATCGAGCACGGTACTACCATCCTCAGTGACAGCTGGAGAGCTTACAGTCGAATTGCTGCTCTGCCCAACGCATACAGGCATCTCCAGTGAAAACGTGAAATATGCTTCTGGCTTAGCTCACAGTTTTCCACGGTCTGGCTCCTTCCTGTCGTGGGAAAGTCTCCGATTCGATGACCTTTTCCACGGTCTGACAGTCGGCGCTCTGAGAAAGGTGCCTAAGAGTACGCTCTGACTGTGAAGTGTTGTTTTTGTGACACCCACATGGCGCCGGCGCAAAGACTGGATGTTATATTCGTGATCAGGGACCCCAAATAACCCCTATACACACGTTTTCAGCGGATTTGGTGGAAACAGCCGTGGCGCCAAATTGGCGCCAAACGGCGCCAAATGGCGCCAAATGACACCAGCATCAAAAATGAATGTCATATTCGTAATCAGGGCATCGAATTACCCCCCCCCCCCCCCCCAATGGCAAAGTTTCGACGAAAAATGAAACTTTGAGATTTTGGGGCAGTAATCGTGGGATAGTGCCCAATCCGGCAATAGGGGAAGGCTGAAAACGGTGAAAAACCAAAGTTTCAACTGGGGAAGTAATGCATATCATTCGATAGCATTTTTCACGGGGAAGCTAACGGGGCACATTTCAGGTCTGCGAGCTCATCTGGAAAATGCAAAAAATCTGAACTTTCCACAAGGGCATGACGAGAGGCATGTTTGGGGCCAGCACCACGGAAGGAACCGCTCACTTGCGACCCGAGTTTTCCACATAATTCCTACAGACAAGTGACCATAGTCTATGACAGTGAAGGAAATTCTTCGCTTTCCTTTACAGCTTTCTACAAAACATTCCTCTAAAAATGGGGCTTGTCACGTAATAGGGGGCAAAGGCATGACAAGGGATGATGTTTGGGGTCACACCACGGAAGAAACGCTCACCTGCGACCAAGGTTTTTATGTAATCCTTACAGACAAGTGACCGTAGTCTACGACAGTGAAGGAAATTTTTCGCTATCTTCACAACTTTCTGCGAAAACATCTCCTCCTCTGAAAATGGAAAATGTCACATAATAGGCCCACTATGCCTGCTGAGAACTGTTCAAAGATTCCACTTGATATACAGAGGATGGGATATTGAGAGCAGAGGGAACACGTAAAGCCAGTAAGCGCTTAAAAACGAAATGAAGATCTAAGATTAATCGTGGTGGGCCCAATCCGGCAATAGGGGAAGGCTGAAAACGGTGAAAAACCAAAGTTTCAACTGGGGGAAGTAATGCATATCATTCGATAGCATTTTTCACGGGGAAGCTAACGGGGCACATTTCAGGTCTGCGAGTTCATCTGGAAATGCAAAAAATCTGAACATTCCACAAGGGCATGACGAGGAGGCATGTTTGGGGCCACACCACGGAAGGAACGCTCACTTGCGACCGAGTTTTCCATATAATCCTTACAGACAAGTGACCGTAGTCTACGACAGTGAAGGAAATTCTCCGCTTCCTTCACAGCTTTCTACAAAACATTCCTCTAAAAATGGGACTTGTCACATAATAGGCCCACTATGCCTGCTGAGAACTGTTCAAAGATTCCACTTCATATACAGAGGATGGGATATTGAGAGCAGAGGGAATCCCCACTCACCAACGCGCCCCAGCCGCTTGAAAACGAAATGAAGATCTAAGAATTCGGAAAATAACATTCATCTAATCTCACAATGTAGTGGATGAGATTGAGTACGTGGCGCATTCTGGGGTAAGTTTTGAGGCCCTTCTCTGTGTGTAGCGGTCAGCCCGCATAAGCGGGATTATATACACATCACATGCGAGCAACTACTTTTTGAGATGAAAATCGAGTGCATGGCGCAATCCTATATGGAGCTTTTCCAAAGTATCAAAGCACAATTATAGTGTCCGACGAGCTGAATTCAGAAAATATTTTCGGATTCTCGGAAAGCTCAATTTTGAACCGAG